TATATTTGTTAAATGATTTTTGTGAAAAAGAAGGAATTATACATGAGATAACACCCTCCTTATTCTCCCGAGTCTAATGGTGTTGCAGAAAGAAAAAAATAGAACATTAAAAGAAATGATGAATGCTTTACTTGTGAGTTCTTCTGCCCCTGATAACTTGTGGGGAGAAGCTATTTTTTTATCTACATTTTTTTACAAAATAGGATACCTCATAAGAAAACAAAGAAAACACCTTATGAGTTATGGAAAGTGTTTACTCTAAACTTAAAATATTTGAAAGTGTGGGGGTGTCTTGCAAAAGTTTTATTGCCTGATCCTAAAAAGAGAAAAATTGGCTCTAAAACTTCTGATTGTATGTTTATTGGATATGCTGAACAAAGTGCAGCGTATCATTTTTTAGTTTTAAAAAGTGATGTTTTAGACCAAACACAATTGTAGAGACTAAGGATGCTGAATTTTTGAACATATTTTTCCTTTGAAAATTAAGCATGTTTCTAAACCTGTTAAGAATTCAGAGTTTGAACAAAATTTAAATGAGGATTTGGTTTTAAGGAGAAGTAAAAAACAAAGGAAAGAAACAAGTTTTGGAGATGATTTTTACACTTATTTAGTACAAGATGAACCGTTAAATTTTTATGAAGCCATTTCTTCTCCTGATGCCAAATTTTGGAAAGAAGCAATTGAAATTAAAATTGATTCTTTAAGGAAAAATAAAATTGGGTTTTATCAAATTTGCCCCAAGGAGCTAAGGCTATTGGGTGTAAATGGATTTTAAGAAAAAATATTTTCCAGACGGTTCAATTGATAAGTATAAAGCAAGGCTTGTGGCCAAAGGTTTTACTCAAAAAGAAAATATAGATTATTTTGACACATTTTTTCCTGTGACTAGAATCTCTTCTATAAGAGTTCTTATTGCTTTGGCTTCAATTTACAAACTTTTTGTTCACCAAATGGATGTTAAAACTGCTTTTTTAAATGGCGATTTAGAAGAAGAAATATACATGGTACAGCCTGAAGGATGTGTGATTCCTGGGCAAGAAAATAAAGTTTGTAAACTTGTGAAGTCTTTATATGGCTTAAAACAAGCGCCTAAGCAATGGCATGAGAAACTTGATCAAGTTTTGACAACTGGTGGATTTTCTACTGTTGAAGTATAAAGATGTGTTTATACAAAGTTTGTGAATAATGAATGTGTGATTATATGCTTGTATGTGGATGATATGCTAATTTTTGGCTCTAGTATGTGTGTTGTTAATGAAACAAAAAATTTTCTTTCTTCAAATTTTGATATGAAAGATATGGGTGAAGCCAAGGTAAT